AGTATGGGAGGCAACCGATCCATCTCTCTCTCTCCCCCTTCCTCCATCTCTCCCCCTTTCTCTTTCTCTAAAATCAATAAAACATATCCTTGAGTAAGGATTTTTAAAAAATGTCTGCATGTACAAAGGAAAAATCAAAATCAAAACAGAGTATGGAGTCAGAAAACTGGAAAGTCAAGATCTCATTTCAGCTGTGCCAGCCCCTAAAACCATGTTTTCTTCTCACTAATGGGGAGGAGTCTCCCTCAAGTATGACGAATATCCAATGAGAACAGACGCAAAGCCCTTTGCAATCTCTCCTGAGTTACACACATCTGTGGCAGTGTTAGTTTGCAGAGGAGCCAGGTGACTCCTATAACCTGGGATGGGAGTCAGTCAGGCAGCGGTCAATCATTACACCTGTGGTCAGGAGTCTCTTCCATTTAAGGCTTTAGGGCAAGTATCCACTATCCTCAAGGAGAAAGACCCTTCTTGAGGGATGCCTGGTCTGGCCACCCCAAAGGCATTTTCCCTAGGGTAAGCTCACCCTTGAAGTAGCATAGGTCGTGGTGTGATTTGGGGGTTTCAACCAAGGCTCCCCCCCTCCAGAAAGCCTCCTCCAACCATCTGCTTCTGGTTTTCCCAAGTCCACCTTAGACAGTCATACTTTGTTTTTTTACTCACCCGAGGACATTTTTTGATATTTTGTTCAGATAGAGTGGGAGGGAGAGAGAGAGAGAGAGAGAGAGAGAGAGAAACATCGACATGAAAGGGCCACATCAAGTGGCTGCCACCCACACGGCCCAACCAGGGCCAGGGACAAACTGCAACTGAGATATGTGCCCTTAGCGGGAACCCAACCCGGGTCTCTCTGGACCGCAGGCCAACGCTCCAACTGCTGAGCCAAACTGGCCAGGGCGACAGTCATACTTTGGGTAGAGGTATCTTAACTAAGAAAATACAAACGATCCCAGGAGAAGTAGTACATTGAGTCTTGTGGGTTATTTACCTTTTGTGGAAAATGTTTTGGCCACATGTTTGTGTCATTAGTGTGTGGGAAGTGTGCTGGCCTGGGGGTCATCAGGTCTGAGTTCTAGTGCCACTTCTGGTATTGACTTCCGGTACAACCTTGAAGAAGTCACCTTTCTTCTTGGGCCTCTTTTTCCCCCTTTGAACCAGGGGGTGGTTGGATTAAGTGCTCTATTTGGGTTCGTTTATTCACTCATCTATTCATTCTTTCATTCAATCAATCATTCAGTCTACAAATGTTTGTTAAGTACCTACTATGTGCTGGGTACTGTTGCACATACAATACCAGGATACAGCAATGAACCAAACAGATAATAGGCTCTGCCCTGTGGAACTTATATTTTAGTGGGAGAAGACCATCAATAAATAAGAAATATAATCATAAGTGAAATTATCTAATATTTGAGGGGTTATAGTGCTTTGGGAAACAAAAGCAGAGTAAGGAATATTTAGAGTGTGTCTGGGGAGCTGGAACTTAAAATAGGAAGACATGCTAGGCTGCACTGAGGAGGTGACATTTGAACAAAGATTTGAGAGCAATTAAGGAGTTAGCTGCCCTGGCCAGTTTGGCTCAACAATTAGACCGTTGGCCTGTGGACCAGAGAGTTCCGGGTTCACTTCCCGCTAAGGTCATGTACCTCAGTTGCAGTTTGTTCCCGGCCCTGGTTGGGGTTGTGTGGTGGCAACCACTCCATGTGTCTCTCGAGTCGATGTTTCTCTCTCTCTCTTCCTCTCTCTCTCCCTCCCACTCTATCTGAGGATAAATGCAAAAAGTGTCCTCGGATGAGGATAAAAAACAAAACAAAACAAAAGGAGTTAGCCACGTGGATATCTTAAGAAAGAACATTCCAGACAGAGGAAACAGCCAGTGAAAAGGCCCTGAGGCAGGAGTATGCTTGGCAAGTATGAGAACACAAGAATAGGGCAGAGAAGAAACACAGTGGACGGTAGGGATAGATTTTAGAGGGCCTTATAGGCCCTTGCAAAGAATTTGGCTTTTAATCTGCATGAAGTAAAGAGCAGTTGGTGAAGGGGTGTGTGTGTGTGTTTCTTTCAATACTTTAGGTTCACAGCAAAATTGAGTATAAAGTATAGAAATTTCATGTATACTGCCATGCCCACACATGCATAGCCTCCTCACCAGCCACATTCCCCACCAGAATGGTACCTTTGTTACAACTGATGAACCTACATTGACGCATCTTTATCACAGTGTTCATAGTTTACATTAGCATTCACTCTTGGTTGCACACATTGTCTGTATTTAGACAAATGTATCGACCATTCTAGTATCATATAGACTGTTAGTAGTATCCTGTGCTGTTAGAAGATTTCAAGCAGAGCAATGTCAAGTGATCTACCCTTACAGAATTCTGAAATCCTACTGAATTTGAGGAAAGAGTTAAGGGTGCCAAAACTATGCCTTAACTGTTGCCCATTTTGCCTTCAGGCCACCTGATTGTCCCCAAAGTCCATATGAAGCCCCCCTACTTCCATCTCTCTGAACACACCTGCCTTGGTTGGAAGAGAAAGTAGAGTCCCACACTTCCTCTAGGTGGCAGTGCTGCCTCACACACAGGGGACACCTTCCCGGGACCTTGTAAGAGAAATCTCTCAGGAGCAGAGAAAATTGGAGCGCCGCCAATCACCGGGATCACACACCTCCAGCCTGCTTGCCCTTGTCTCAATGTCGGGGATCACCCAGACAAGGCAGCTGGGCCGGTGCTGTGGCTGTCGCAGTCTTATCTTGCCTCTTCTGGGAGGTAATGGTGTAAGGAATAGAGAAAGAGTTGGCTGCCCTCCTCTGTTTATGCTTCCCTGTACTTGTTCAAGTCTAAATTGATATTCATTTTACATTTTTTTTGTTAATCCTCACCTGAGGATATTTTTTCCATTGATTTTTAGAGAGAGAGTGGAAGTGAGGGAGGGGGAGAGAGAGAGATTGATGTGAGAGAGACACATCGTTTGGTTGACTCCCACATGCACCCTGACTGGGACCAGGGGTCGAACCTGCAACCCAGGTACATGCCCTTGACTAGGAATCCAATCTGGGACCCTTTGGTGCACAGATCGACACTCTAACCACTGAACAACACTGGCCAGGACTTACTTTACAGTTTAAACCTTTGACGATATTCACTCCTGAATAAAATTGAGGGGAGGAGAAAGGGTCACACGTGTTTGTTCTGGTCCTGTTCATTCCAGGGCAGCACTGAGCACTGTATGCGCTGCCTCAGGCTGAGTCCTATTCTCCTGTGTTTCTGGAAAATGATTAGACCTCTGGAGTTGACCACCAGCTACCTGGTCTTTCTAGGTAGAAACAGTGTGTCATCATCACTCCTCCCCTCCTTCCTTCCTTCCTTCCCTCCCTTCCTTCCTCCTCTCCCACATCTATCACTGAAAACTGTCAATTTTACCTTATTTATATCATCACACAAATTCATTCTTCCCCCTTTTATGCACATTTTCCTTGCCTTTGTATACCCAAGGGTAGAAAATACTAAAGGCTAAAAGGGTCAAACAGGTGTTGACTGAGTGGAGAAGGCCAGTGTGTAAGGCAACAGGGAGGGGTGGGAACTGTGATGAACCGGAAAAAATATCATTGAAACCTAAGTAATTGCTTCTCAGTCCCAGGCAGGTGGGAAGGCAGGTTCAAGTGTGGCCAGTTTTTAAAAGCCAGAAATCTGTTGTTTTTCATGTGAAATGTACTGAGTTGAAGTGTACAGAGTTAGCCTTGACTGGTGTGGCTCAGTGGCTGAACATTGTCTTACGCACCCAAGAGGCTGCAGGTTAGATTCCCAGTCAGGGTGTGTGCCCAGGTTGTGAGCTCCTCGATCCCCAGTAGGAGGCGTGCAGGAGCTAGTCGATCATTGTTTCTCTCCCCTTCCTCTCTCTCTCTCTCTCTTTTTTTAAAATTTTTTTTTTCTTTTTATTGATTTTTACAGAGAGAGGGAGAGAGAGATAGAAGCATTGATGAGAGAGAACACTGATTGGCCACCTCCTGCATGTCCCCCACTGGGGATTTGGCCCACAACCTGGGCATGTGCCCTGGCCGGGAATCGAACCAGCGACCTCTTGGTACATGGGTCGACGCTCAACCACTGAGCCACATCGGCCAGGCTCCCCTTCCTCTCTCAAATCAATAAAAACAGACTTTGAAAGCTGTACTGTACTGAGTTAATATTGGCAACTAACCCTTTTAAAAATGTTTTAAACAAGTAGAACACTGCAAGTGGCAAATAAAACACATCAACGGTCTGAATTCAGCACATGCAGGCTGCTGACTTTTGACCCCTGGTTTGAATCACAGTCCTAGTGAAGACTATTGATGTTTCTTCTTTGGTCTGCCACTGTCCTCTCTCACTTCCGTGCATTTTGCTCATAGTCTCCGGAGCCTCTCCCCATACCCAAGTCACAGCAGCCCATTCCACTGCCTGACATCTCCCTTGCCACTGCCTCCCCAACCCCCACCCCCAAGTTCCCCACAAGATGGAGTCCAGGCCATTCAGGGAGGCTGCCAGAGTTCTCTCTCTGACCTCAGGCCCACTCCACGCCTCCTGGGCTCTCTGCTGGCATCAGCTCCTTTGTTACTCCCAAGGTCTTCCCCAGGCCCCTGTATTCACCCCAATGTAATGTCTATTTACACGTGTCTCCCCACTAGACCGTGATGGTCCTTAATACAAATGACCGCCTCTTATTCATCTGTGTTATGTGTGAGGCACCTGTGCTCAGAGGCTGGCAAATGTTTTTTAAATAAATAAAATGAAAGAAAATAAACACATGAATGATGATTGTTAGCCAAGTAAATTTGAGCTGTCTTAAGGATGTTTACTTCCCACCCCATTTACACATAATTAAGACCCAAGTGTCCTTTGATAAAGACAATCCCCCACCCCGTGAGTCCCCCTCTCCCCAGGTGCAGAGGTGTTGAAGACAGGCAGGCGTGCTCTGGGACCCAGGGCAAGCTGTTCCTCTGCCCCAGCCAGGTCTTCTTACAGGCAGGTCTCGGGGGTTTCTGTGGCTTCCTTAATCCTCTTTCTCTTGAGTTTTGTTTTTTGAGGAAGTTTCTTTAAAGAACCTGAAAAAGGAAAGGTCAGAGACAGCCCGATGACATCACAAATACTAAGAGAATCTCAGCCTGTAACATTTGGGAGTGTGGTAGGGACCTAAAAGAAGGACAACTAAATCTTACTTCCAACCTATATCCCTTCTTCTTTTCTCATAGAAATCTGTAGGGTAGGGAGATGTTATCACCCAAGTTTACAGATGCAGGGTCTCTCCTAGCCACAGAGTAAGGAATGTCCTGCCACAGCCTGAGGCAAGTTATGAATGCAGTCCAGACCAAACCCACATTTCTTGTGTGTCTCTTTCTTTCTCTTTCTTTCTTTCTTTCTTTCTTTCTTTCTTTCTTTCTTTCTTTCTTTCTTTCTTTCTTTCTTTTTGGTTCAGATAGTGGGAGGAAGAGAGAGAGAGAGAGAGAAACATCGATGTGAAAGACACATCGAGTAGCCGCCACCCGCACGACCCAACCAGGGCCGGTGACAAACTGCAACTGAGGTTCGTGCCCTTAGTGGGAACCAAACCCAGGTCTCTCTGGACCACAGGCTGATGCACTAACCACTGATCCAAACTGGCCAGGGCAAAACCCACATTTCTTGACATCTGGCTTCAGACTCTGATTCCTCCCCCCACTCCTCTCTCTGTTTCATGCCCCAGTTCCCCATATTTTGCTGCTGGACTCTTGGCAAACACCATTGCCATTATTTTCCTTGAGAACTGACTTATAAACATAGTGCCAAAGAAAGAGCAAGCACATTACTTTTAATTGCACAGCAAGAACTCAGCTCATCATGGTGGGCCCACCAGATAGTACAGTATGTGTTTTCTTATGTAACACACATGGGGAAAATAAAACTTTATCTCTAATGTCTCCCAGCCCCCCCCCCAAATTGTTTAACATGAATTCATCCAGACTTTTGATCTAAAGTCCTATTTACAGATAGAGGAGCAAGCTTAAAAGAAAGAAACAGGAGAAAAGCAGGCAGTGGAACATTCTGCTGAACAATAGCCTGATCTCTTCAACAAGTCTGGGAGTCAAAAGGGGTCTTGTTAGGGTAAAAGAGACTTAAAACACATAACAAGGTGAGAAGTGTCAAGTTTGGGGAAGCAGGGCAAAATATATCTTTTGAATATGGAGTATCGAATCCAACAATTAGATGACATGAGAATACTGACATGGAAAGTTGGTATAATTAACTGGAGAACACACATTCAAATGAAAAGCATGTACATTGTAGCCCTGGCCAGTTCAGCTCAGCAGTTAGAGTGACAACCTGAGGACCAGGGAGTCTCGGGTTTAATTTCAGTGAAGGGCACGTACCTCGGTTGTGGTTAGTTCCCCAGCCCTGGTCATGTGGGAGGCAACCAATCGATGTGTCTCTCTCACATCGATGTTTTTTTTTCTCTCTCTCTCCCTCCCTTCCTCTCACTCTATCTGAAAATCAATGGAAAAATATCCTCTAGTGAGGATTGAAAAACAAAAAAGTATTTACATTGTAGCCCTGGCCAGGTAGCTCGGCTAGTTAGTGTCGTTCTGATACACCAAGATTGCAGCCCCAGTCAGGGCACATACAATAATCAACCAATGAATGCATAAATACGTGGGACAATGAATCAGTGTTTCTCTCTCGCTCTCAAAAAAACCCCCCAAAAAACAAAAAAAAACCACGTTTATACATTGTGGTCTCATTTTGGTTAAAATACATGTTTTACATGCATAAAAACATTTGGCAAGTGCTAGCAGTGGTGGTGACAATGTGATGCTTATGTTTCTTACCTTCGCTTATCTGTATTATCTAATTTTTAATGATATGCTTATAGTAATAAAATGTTATTTAAGAATTACATGAAAGGCAAATTTCTTAACCTATCATCCAAGGCTTTCTCCTTGTTTCCCACACCCTGCCCTTCGCCAGCCTGCTCTGCCATTCCCCGCTGGACCGACCGACCGTCTGCTCGCTGCCCCTCACCTTTGCACGCAGCCCGCCTCCCACCTCTCTCCTCCTTCCCATTCCCTCTCCTTATCCTTTCCTTTCAAGCCTGTCCCAAATGTACCCTCCAGGCAGCCTGTCTGACCCTTGTTGCCCTAAGGCCACAGATTGCTCCTTGGTAAAATAAGGAGAATAATACTCACCTCATTGGGATGCTGCAGGGGTTAAGTGAATTTATAAGAGACAAAGCACCTGGTATAGGGAGCGGCTGGCCTGAAAGCTTGGAGCTCACTTTCTTCATCTGATTCATGGACTGCTTGGCCTACAGACTGGTCTCCATTCCATTGTAGGTTTCACTTTACTCAACTTCAACTGTAGGCCCTGGGGCCAGGGGCCCGCACAGGGCCAGGCAGGATTCTGGGTCTCAGTAGCTGCCTAACCTGTGCCCACTGCACCTGACTTGTTCTCAGCCCTGCTCGCCCACTCGGTACAGCTGTGACTAGTGGACGAAGCCCTGAGGGTTGCTGGTCTGCGTTAGCCCTTCAGAGGAAACACCTGAGTCCGATTTAGGACCCTCCCCGCCCCTGCCCGACGCTGAGGTCCTAGGCAGCCCTGTTTGTCTTTACTTTCTACCCCAGTAGCTATACGTATAAGAACAGCCAGCTGGCCCCCGAAGCCAGTTCCAGAAGGTGAGGGTGGGTGGTCCAACACCTCTCTGTACCTCGGTGCACAGAAGGGGTCTTCATAGGTTCCAGCCTTGGCTGAGGCCCCTCCCACTGAAGAGCCTCCAACCTGGCCCCACAGCTCCCTTCAGAGAGGCGGGCCGGGCAGATCACCGAGGCCAAGCTGCTGGGACGGTCATTCCCAGGCCATCTGGATGGACTTCTCCACCCTGTGGTGATGAACCCCCTCCCTTATCCCACCCCCACCCGACACCTAGAGTGGGTGTCCCGCTGCTGCCAGGGCACTTCCTGGGAGTTCCCACTTGCAGCCACTAGAAATAGTCTCTGCTCGAAAGTGCCTTCCCTTAAATATTAACTGAAAAATACATAATTCAAAACTGTACGTATCATGAGACCTCAAGGGAAAATTACTCAGAACACAAACACACCAGAACATTAATAGTCATGGTCTCTGGGTGATAGGCGATGTTCCCTCTTCTGATTTATACTCATCTGTGCATCTCAAACTTTCTATAATGAGCATACCTGCTGGGAGGGGGAGGAAAGAAAAAAAACAAACAAGAGTGGAAAAGGGAAGGAAAATGACTGGAAAAGGAAGTGCAGGGTGAAGAAAAGATGGGAAGGAGGGAAGAGGCAGGTGTCGGGCTGCTCCAGGTTGGTCCACGTAGCCTCAGCTCGTGCGCCCTCTTCTCCAGGCACCCCCCTGCACACCTTGTGGGCATTACCTCTCCTGAAGTGCACCCCGGAACTGGGCTCCACCAGCAGGGAGGCCTCGCCTGGGGCCTGCATCTTGGACAGCCTCTCCTTCATGCCGCTGATGTTGCCGTGCAGCCCCCAGGCGCTGCAGAGCTTGGGCAGACCGTCTTCCTGGTCGGCCAGCAAGGAGCTCTCTGGGGTGTCCAAGGGGCAGAACGCTGCCTGCAACAGGGCCTCAGTGTTAAGCAGAGTGTGGAGAGGAGAGGGGCCCGAGTTCCATAGCGGCAGCCAAGCCCTTGTTGGGAACCGGCTGCAGTCTACCTGCACCAAACACCTGCCTGGCCAGAAGGATGGAGAGTCATGATGTGGAGAGAAAGGGTCCTGAAGACATGGAGGCCAGTCTGTCAACTGTCTGTTCTTGGGCGATTCTTTGAGGTAGGTACTCCATTTCTGTTTTTGAGTGTTTTATGTGTTTGTCATGAAGCAATTTTTTTAAAAGTCCTTTGCAAAATTAAAATGGAGGGCCTTGAAAACAATCTTATGAAATTTTCCTGGCCAGTGAAATCCAGGAATCAATAAAATGACAGCTCTTAGTATTCAGAGGAAGAATCACTGAACTGATCTACCCATTTGTGTTTAGAGGAAGAAACGGAGACCCAGCGAAGGCGAGGATTTGGTTAAAGCTGTGCAGTAGAGAGTTTGGGGATGGGGTGGGGGACTCAGGGCATGGTTAGAGCAGGTCTTCGCTCTGTACCAGATTGCTTGAACCCCACTTGCTGTGTGGTCTGGATTAAGTGACTCTACCTCCCTACATTTGGCATCTTCATTTACTCACTGTGGACAATAATTCTAATTAACATTTAGGGTTACTTTTTTTTATCCTCACCCAAAGACTTTTTTCCATTTTTTGTTTAGATAGAGTGGGAGGAACAGAGAGAGAGAAACATCGATATGAAAGGGACACATCGAGTGGTTGCCACCCGCACAACACAACCAGGGCCGGGGACAAACTGCAACTGAGGTACATGCCCTTAGCGGGAACCAAACCAGGGTCTCTCTGGACCGCAGGCCCACGCTCTAACTGCTGAGCCAAAACGGCCAGGCCTAGGGTTACTTTTGAAGATTACAGGACGGAATATAAAGTATCTGACCCATAGAAACTATTACCTATGATTAGTATTTTGGACAAGGTTCCCAAAGTGTGCTCTGTGAACCCCCTGGAGGTCCCTAAAATATTTTGACCTCACAGACCCCCTGCAAAGTGAGGTCCACTCAAAAGTGTAAGAGAGAAACCAATGGATTCTAATGTAACCTAGTGTTGAAAGTTCATTGATACAAATCTGAAAAGGCTACATACTGTGTGTTTCCAACATATGGCATTCTGGAAAAGGCCAAACAATGGAGACAATAAAAAGATCAGTATCTGCCAGGGCTTTGCGGGGAGGAAGGGAGGGAGAACAGGTGGAGCACGGGTGTGGGGGTGGTGGGTAATGAAACTATGCTATGCCCTGGAGGTTTTGCTCAGTGGTTAGAGCGTCGGCCTGCGGTCCAGAGAGACCTGGGTTTGGTTACCGCTAAGAGCGTGTATCTCGGTTGCAGTTTGGCTCCGGCCCTGGTTGGTTGTGCAGGTGGCAGCCACTCGATTTGTCCCTTTCACGTCAATGTTTCTCTCTCTCTTTCTCTCTCTCTTCCCCACTCTATCTGAACAAAAAATGAAAAAAAATGTTCTCGGGTGAGTATTTAAAAAAAAAGGAAACTATGCTATATGATACTGTAATGGTGGATTCATGACACATTTCTTATACATTTGCTGAAACCTATGAAATGTACAACAGAAAGAGTACACCCTAATGTAAACTATGGACATTATAAGTTAATGATGTATCAATATTGGCTCATCAGTAATAGCAAATGTACTACTTTAATGCAATATGCTAGTAAGTAGTAATAGGAGAGAGTGGTATATGGGAACTCTCTGTAGTTTCCACTCAAGTTTTATGTAAACCCAAAATTGCTAAAAAAAAAGTCTATTTTAAAATGTTCATTAATGGCACTGGCCAGTTTGGCCCAGTGGTTTGAGCGTCGGCCCACGGACCAGAGAGGCCCGGGTTCTGTTCCCACTGGGGGCACTTACTTCAGTTGCAGTTTGTCTCCTGCCCCCATTGGGGTTGTGTGGGAGGTGACCAGCTGATGTGTCTCTCTTACATCAATGTTTCTCTCTGTCTCTTCCCCCTTCTCTCCCTCCCACTCTATCTGAAGATAAATGAATTTTAAAAAAGTTCATTAATGCTCAGCCGGTGTGGCTCAGTGGTTGAGCTTAGACCCGTGCACCAAGAGGTCACTGGTTCAAGTCCCAGTCAGAGCTCATGCCCAGGTTGTGGGCCGATCCCCAGTGGGGGTCATGCAGGAGGCGGCCAATCGATGTTCTCTCTCATCAATGTTTCTATTTTTTTGTCATTGTTGTTCAGATAAAGTGGGGGGGGGGGAGAGAGAAACATCGATGTGAAAGGGACATATCAAGTGGCTGCCACCCACACAACCCAACCAGGGCCGGGACAAACTGCAACTGAGGTATGTGCCCTCAGCGGGAACCGAACCCGGGTCTCTCTGGATCACAGGCTGACGCTCTACCCGCTGAGCCAAACCGACCAGGGCTGTTTCTATTTCTCTCCCCCTCTCCTTTCTGTTCTCTCTAAAAATCAATAAAAAAATTTTTTTTAATAAATAATTTTTTTTTTATCCTCACCCGAGGACATTTTTCCATTTTTTTGTTCAGGTAGAGTCGGAGGGAGAGAGAGGAAGAGAGAGAGACAGAGAAACATCGATGTGAAAGGGACATATCAAGTGGATGCCTCCCGCATGACCCAAACAGGGCCGGGGACAAACTGCAACCAAGGTACGTGCCCTTAGCGGGAACCAAACCCGGGTCTCTCTGGACCACAGGCCGACGCTCTAATTGCTGAGCCAAACTGGCCAGGGCTATTATAATTTTTTATTTTCAAATTTAGTTGACATACATCATGATATTAGTTTCAGGTGTACTTAGCTTTAATTTCAAATAGAGAAAATATCAATGGATATAACCTACATAAACATACTTTTGGGAGGTTCTCAATTTCTTTTTTTAAAGATCTGGACTTTTAAAATAATACATTTTATTGATTTTTTTTTTTTTTTTTGGTACGTGCCCCTAGCAGGAACTGAACCCAGGAGCCAAACCAGCCAGGGCCATTTTTATTGGTTTTTAAGAGAGAGGAAGGGAGAGAGAGGAACATCAATTGGCTGCCTCCTGCACGCCCCCTACTGGGGATTGAGCCCTAACGTGGGCATGTGCCCTGACTGGGAATCAAACCAGGACCTCTCAGTCCATGAGACAACACTCAATCCACTGCGCCACACTGGCCAGGCTTCTTAATGATTTTTAAGAGGGTGTAAGTGACCCGAGACCAAAATGTTCGAGAATCACTGGTTTTGACAAAGCCAGGCCACGCTCTGGGGATAGTCCTTGGAGCCTTTCCCAAGCTGGCTATGCCTTTCTGCCAGGACCTGACCATCCCCACCCATGGCGCTGAAGGCATGGGTCTTGCTCCTGCTAACATTAGTGTGTGGGTGTGGAGGGTCAATAAACATCAAGAACTGGAGTCTCTGTCCTCTTCAGCCCCACTCTGTGCTCACTGCAGGGGTAAAGTTAGGGGCAGTGGGTTGTCCTCAGGCAATGGACCGTGGAAATGACTGGAGGGGTGCTGGTTTTATCAGGAGGCCCCTCAGTCCCAGGCCTCCCCCCACAGTCCAAGGACACACCAACCAACCCTCAGCCGGGCCCAGGAGGAGCTTTGTCGAGTGTCTCACCAGGAACTTGGTGTTCTGGTTCTTCTTGGTATACTTGTAGAGCCTGAGAAGTTGCTTTGCCTCCAACTCAGAGAAGAGGGAGACAAATCGCCAGAGCATCCTGCAGAGGAGAAACCTGAGGCTGAGGGAAGCAGAGCACAGCCCCTGTCCCTCCAGCATGTGTCTTGTGGCCAGAACCCACCAGGGAGAATTGGGACACATGCCACCTCCTTGGTTTTTGGTTGGGGTCATGGAGAAAAGGGAATTTTCCAGACCTTGAATACCCTGTTCTGGTGATGAGCACCCACACCACACAGACATTGTTCAATCAGAGGTCATTGTCCTCAGGGTCAGGAGAGTCTTTTGTCCACTCTGTGTGCAGCCATAGTGAATCAGTGCTTCCCCAAGTGACCAGAGAACCCTATTCTCTCCACCCTGTCTTCCCCATTCTTACTCCGGATCCTGACTCACAGCAAGGTGAAAGACTAGGGGATCTTGACTGAGGTTTGACTTGGAATTTAGAGGGAGTGACCCAGGAGTGGGTGTAGTGGGAAGGGCAAGGAAGCTGCCCTACTTCTTCCAGTGCTTTATTTCCCAGGCTCGGCAGTAGTGCTTCAGAAAGGTGTTGATGTGGTCACCTAGGACCACCAGGCTCTGCTTCATGTACTTTAGCTTCTTTTTCTGGGGAAGGTCCTCGGGCAGGTATAACTTTCTTAGGCACTTCTTTAATGGTCTTAGACATTCTTTACACTGAGGAGGCAACAGGTGAAGTGAGGGGCCATAGGAGAAAAGAGGAGGCAGAAGGGCAGTCCCAAGTAACCAGCACATTGGTCCCGCTGCAGCCCTTAGGACCCAGGAAGGGTTACGCTTGTTAAGTGAGGAAGTTCCAGTCAATGTCTTGCCCCCCTTCTTTCCCAAGAGTGTGACAAATGGGGCAATGAGCTATGGGTGTGAGGCCTGCCAATTTCTAACCTCGGTTTCCTGACCTGTGGGGTACGGGGGAGGGTCCTGGGATGGCCCCTTACTCACAATTCTGAAGGTACACTGGTCCAGGCCCTTGGCGTGGCGCACGAGTGAGCCTCCAGCAGGGATGGGGCTGGAGTTGTTCTCCAAACAGGGTACATCCATCACCTGGGAGGAGGCGGGGCAGAGGTCAGCTGGGGGCCAGGCGACTGCTCCTGAGGGGCAGCGCTGGTCAGCCACTGACCCAAATGCCAGCCAAAACCCTTCTCCATTTTCCTTATGACCTTTCCCTGACCCAGCACCGAGACGAGTAAGTCCTGGGCAAAGAAACCCATCTCCAAGAATCCTTGCTGAGAAAACCTAGAATGCCCAACTCATTTTTAAAAATAATAATTATAGCCCTGGCCGGTTTGGCTCAGCGGTTAGAACGTCAGCCTGTGGTCCAGAGAGACCTGGGTTCGGTTCCCGCTAAGGGCATGTACCTCGGTTGCGGTTTGTCCCTAGCCCCAGTTTGGGGTTGTGTGGGTGGCAGCCACTTGATGTGTCCCTTTCACATCGATGTTTCTCTCTCTCTCTCTCTCCCATACTACGTGAACAAAAATGGAAAAATGTCCTCGGGAGAGGATAAAAAATAATAATTATTATTATAGCATAGTACACCAGCTAACTTTTCAAATCACTAAATTAACATAACTCACTTAATTTGCCCACAAATTCTGTGAGCTCTGATATTATTATACCTGGTTACACACAAGAGATCAGGGATTTAAGTAACTCCTTGGGGAAATGAGCAGGGATTCATCTCATTCCTTCAGCAAACAGGTATCGAGTGCCTAAGTCCCGGGCCCACCTCTTTCTATCCCTAACCCTGAGAATCATGCCATGCTAATGGGCACTCAGAAAAGTGTGTGATGGTGATGGTAATGATGAGAAGGAATTTTCTGACAGCAAAGGTGGGGCAAAAATCTAATTAATGAAGACAAATGACTGTGAAATAATACTTGAAGTCAGAGCACAGAATTTAGATTGACATGGCTGGTTTGCACCTGACCTTTTCAAAGCCTCTCAGAAAAGTTACCGTTAATTCCTGCCTGTGTTCAGGGGTTCGGAACAAGAACGATCCAGGCCAGACCCTTCTGAAGGAAGAGAAGGGGAGGGAAGTAGATGGAGAGGGTACGGGACATAGGTCCTCCAGGCCCCAGGGAGAGGGGACTCTGGCTGATCAAGTTTATACACACCCCCCCCACACACACACACACACCAGCACCCTTGTGTCTTCATAACCAACAATCATCTTACCAGGAATCTTCCCATCATCTTGACAGTAGTATATGTCCTTGATAAACATCTATTTGAATGACTTAACCTTCTCTTATTTTTGGTTTCTTGCTAACTCATGTTCCTCACCAAATTTCCCTCTTCTCTTCCTTGAATTTCATATTCTTTGCTTTCAAAACCAGCCCCTCAGGGACCTCCCTTTCCTCCCTCCCTTCCTCCCTCCCTCACATCCCTAGCCCCACTTCACCGTCTCTAGAGGCTTGTCCTCTTCACCCCCTTGCCCATCTGAGGACCCCATCTCAACAGGTGTGCTAGTGGGCTCCAGAGTGGCACTCCTCATGTCCCCTCAGTCTCTGACCTACTGCTTCTGTGACTTCAGTGTCTCAGAAGTGTGCAGGTTGGCTCCAGAACCCAGGGTAAAACCATGGCAACTGCCAACAGAGCCCAGCGCCCCTCCCCATCCCGTGCCCTCATCCTAGGGGCGGTCACCGGCCCTCTCCTTCCGCTGGGAACTAGACTAGGGAAGTGAGCACGATGTTCTGGGAAGCCCGAGGACCTTGTCAGAGTGCACAGCTGGCAGGAGAGGCCGGCACCCCTTTTCCCGAGAGACAGTCAGATGCTGTTGATTTGAAGTAACTTCCCTGCGTCTGTACCACTCGTGCCTCCTCAGGTACACCGTGGGCGCCCTGGAAGTGAGGACGAGTTTGCAACGTTCCTTTGGGGATTGGGAACAAAGGACTGGAAGGTGCCCCGAGAGAATGGAATACAGTAACTCTCTACTGGGCTAGAGCTTCTTTGCATCCCGGGAGCCTCCAGAAAGTTCATCGGCCCATTGTGTCGGGTGTTGGGTGGATCATGGTGGTGTTTTTAGGGGTGTGTACAAAAATACCAGCCGCCACGTGTCTCAGTGAACTGTCACAACAGTCCTCCCTGGTGTAAGGTACCAGTAGTGGCCCCATTTCTCAGAAGAGGAGCCCCGATGTAACTTGCCTTAAGTCCGCAGCCACCAAGTGGGGCGGCGGTTTGTGCAGACGCCGCCCTGGGGGATGGGGTGAGCGGTTCCCTGGCCTGCTCGCCGTGGGCCTCGGGGGCGCTCCCTCGAGCACCCAGCAACGGCGGCCCCACGCGTCCTTCAGCGGCGCACCTGGCGGGGTGCTGAGACCGTTGCAGCCTCCCTTTACTTACCTACCCAGCATCTTCTTCCCTGGAAGGCTGGACTCCATCTCCTGGCCCTTGACATCGTGCCCTCTGGGTCCAGGCTCCCGCTCTTCCCACTCAGTTTGGCTCTTTTTCTCCCCTGCCTTCTCGGGCACCGGGTGGGACCCACGGCGGCGGCGACAGGAGCGGAAACCCGGGTTTGGATCCCACGGCTCTGTCGTCCCTGGCCTCCTCTTCGCCATCCGACCACGGTACCCTCACACCATAGGGACATTGTAGCTCTTGACATACTTACAGGACAATGTGGCTTTGTCTCTAAACTGGGAGGTCTGTTCTCTGACCATTAATTCAGAATTATTTTGCAGCTATTAAAGACAATTTTATTGGCAAGGCTGAGGGGAAGGGGGCTCTCTTACACACTTTATTGGGAGAGATAACGGGTAAAGAATCCATGTGGCAATGCGAAATGTTAAATGTGTATTCCCTTTGATCCACTTCTACCAGGTAGTCCTGGGGAGAGATGCATGTATGAGGACTGTTACAACGGTGACAATGTAGAAACAACTGAGATATCATCTATGTGTGTGTTGCATACCACTGAGTCATCTCGACTCCTGGTGACCGTATGAATGAGTGATGTCTGCAATGTCCTGTCCTCGACTTCCCTGCTCAGCTCTTGCCTATGACTTCTTTTATGGAGTCAATCCATCTCATATTTGGTCTTCCTCTTTTCCTGCTGCCTTTTATTTTCCCCTGCATTCTTACCCTTTCCAAGGAACTCTGCCTCCTCATGATGAGCCCAAAGCTTCAGTTTTGTCATTTTGCCTTCCTCACCCAAGGACATTTTCCTATTTTTTTTTGTTCAGGTAGAGTGGGAGGGAGAGAGAGGAACAGAGAGAGAGAGAGAAACATTGATGTGAAAGGGACACATTGAGTGGCTGCCACCCACACGACGGGCCGGGGACAAACTGCAACCGAGGTACATGCCCTTAGCGAGAACCGAACCCGGGTCTGTCAGGACCGAAGGTCGACGCTCTAACCGCTGAGCCAAACCGGCCAGGGCCGATGTTTCAGTCTTAATTTGCTCTAGGAGCCACTTGTCTTTCTGCCCGTCTTGGGTATCCACAGAGCTCTCCTCCAACACCATATTTCAAATGAATCAACTTTCCAACTCTCACATTCATACGTGGTAACTGGGAATACCATGTATGAATGAACTTAACCTTGGTTGCTAGTGACATATCTTTGCTGATCTTTCCTAACTCTCCATTGCTGCTCTCCTGAGTCTCAGCCTTCTCGAGGTTCTTGGCTGCAGTCTCCATTTGAATTAATGGCTGAACCAAGGTAAACAAAATCTAACAATTTCAATGTCTCCTTTGTCTATGTTAAAGTTTTTGTATTTCTTCTGTAGTCATTATTTTTGTCTTATTGATGTTCAAATGCAGTTCTGGTTTGGCACCTTCTTCTATCAGTCTCATCGGAAATCATTTCAAGTCAGGGCTACTTTCTGACAGTAATATGGTGTCATTTGCATATCTTAAATCATTGATATTTCTTCCAGCAATTTGTACTCCATCCTTGAGTCTAGCCCAGTTTTTCATATATGTTCTGTGTACAGATTAAACAAATAGATAAAATGCACCCTCATCTGACACTTTTGTCTACAGGAAACCATTCTGTCTGTCCATATTCTGTCTGGCAGTGGCTGCCTATACGCAGTACAGGTTACACATCAGGACAACCCAGTGCTGAGGCACACCCTTTCAGAGCGTCCCATAGCTTATCATCATCCACACAGCCAAACCTTTACTGTAGTCTATAAAACATAGACTAATCTTCTGAAATACTTTGGAGCAGTCCAGTACCCAACGAATGTTTGCAAATTTTTTTGCATTTTTATTTTTCAATTATGGTTTACTTCCAACATTACTTTGTATTGATCTCAGGTGTACAACATAATGCTTAGACAGTCATATACCTTAACAAAGTGCCCCCTCCCCCAGATATTTCCAGTACCCATCTGGCACCTTATATAGTTATCACAATATTATGGACTATATTCCCTATGTTGTAACTTTACATCCCTGTGACTAATCTGTAACTACCAATTTGTACTTTTTAATCCCTTCACCTTTTCACCCAGTCCTACCAACCCCTCCCCTCTAGACACATTCTGTGTGTCTGAGTCTGTTTCAATTTTGTTTATTTTGTTCTTTAGATTCCACATATAAGTGAAGTCATATGGTATTTATCTTTCTCTGACTTATGGCACTGAGCATGTTTGCAGTTTGATGTCAAGGGCCTCTTTTCTGAATCCAGCTTGAACTCCGGGTACTTCTTGCTCCATATAAGGTAGAATAAGCCTTTGTTGCATCACTTTGGGCATCACTTTATTTGCATGGTAAACTAGAGCAAATAGTTTCGACACTCCTTGGCATCTTCTTTCTTGAAGATTAGATGTATAATGAACATTTCTAGTCTGTAGGCCATTGTTTTTTTATTTTTTTAAATTTTTTATTTTTTATCCTCACCTGAGGACATTTTTCCATTTTTTGTACAGATAGAGTGGGAGGGAGAGAGAGGAAGGGAGAGAGAGAGAAACATCGACGTGAAGGGACACATCGAGTGGCTGCCACCCGCATGACCAACCAGGGCCGGGGACAAACTACAACTGAAGTACGTGCCCTTAGCGGGAACCGAACCCGGGTCTCTCCGGACCGCAGGCCGACGCTCTAACCGCTGAGCCAAACTGGCCAGGGCTGTAGGCCATTGTTTTACATATTTGTTGATTTATTCTTGTTAGGATTTTGTCAGATTCAGTTTCTGTGGCTTGAAATAATTCTATTGGTAGCCCATCTACCCCTGGTAATTTATTTCTTCCCAATACTTTCTGGGAAGCTTTCACTTAGCTTTCTAGAATTACAGGTTCTTCCTCAGAGGAATCTTCTTCAAAGATATGTCATCCTTCTGTCTTTTCTGTGTAGATTTTCAGTGTACTATTTCCACTATCCTTTTATTTTCTCCTGATCAGATAATGTGCTTCCTTGTTGGCCATTTGGCATTCCTAGTCTAGGTTTGATTTCCCTTTTATTTCTTGAATCTTCTGGTAGAGAGCTCTTATTTTTCCTCTTTTGTTGCTCTCTTCCATCTCCTTACACTGACTATTGTAATTGTTCTCTTTATTTCTACATGATAGTCCTTGAAAACTATGTTTCAGAATTCTATCCCTGTCGTAATAGGAAAGGGTAAATAAACCCTGGTACCCATACTTAAAAACACTACTCTATTAAATATTAAAGTTAAATTTATTTTTAAAAAATACTTTATTGCCTGGCCAGTGTGGCTCAGTGGATTGAACATCCTCCCATGGACTAAGAGGTCCCTGTTTGATTCCCAGTCAGGGCACATGCCTGGGTTGCAGGCTGGATCCCCAGTGGGGCTGTGCAGGAGGCAGCTAATTGATGTGTCTCTCTCACTATCAATGTTTCTCTCTCTCCCCCCCTTAATCTCTCTCTCTCTAAAAAAATAATTAATAAAAACATATTTAAAAAATAAAAATAAAAATGCTATCAAAATACTACTAGATATTAAAACATTACTCTATATCTATATAATAATTATTAAAAATTAAAAAGTTTACTGCTCTATATTTAATGACATGGAAAACAGAACCTAAAACCATTTATAGTATGATTCCATCTTTGAAAGAATGTATTTAGCCCTGGCCGGTTTGGCTCAGAGATTAGAGTGTCGGCCTGCAGACCAATGAGTCGAGGGTTTGATTCTGGTCAAGGGCACGTACGTTAGTTGTGGTTGGTCCCTGGCCCTAGTCGGGTCATGTGGGAGGCAACCAGTCAATGTGTCCCTCTCACATAGATGTTTCTTTCTCTCCCTCCCTTCCTCCCTCTCTATCTAAAGATAAATAGAAAAATATCCTCGGGTGAGGATTAAAAAGAAAGAAAGAAAGAAAGAAAGAAAGAAAGAAAGAAAGAATGTATTTATATGTGCATAAAAAAAGTCTATTTTTTTTTTTTTTTGGTACGTGCCCCTAGCAGAAACCGAACCCGAACTCTCTGGTCCACAGGCCAGCGCTCCAACTGCTGAGCCAAACTGGCAAGGGCCATAAAAAAGTCTTAAAAG